CCACTCCATTCATATACAGACTAATAAACATTACTGATTAATTATCACTCCATTAATATACAGACTAATAAACATTTACTGATTAATTATCACTCCATTAATATACAGACTAATAAACATTCACTGATTAATTACCACTCCATTCATATACAGACTAATAAACATTTACTGATTAATTACCCCTCCATTCATATACAGACTAATAAACATTCACTGATTAATTACCACTCCATTAATATACAGACTAATAAACATTTACTGATTAATTACCACTCCATTCATATACAGACAAATAACATTCACTGATTAATTACCCCTCCTCTAAATGGAACATAAAACAAGGAAGTAAAAGAAAAGAATAAATGAATATAATTTATCGTGACATATTGCTCAGTAAATATTCATTACTGAAATGTAGAAGCTCTAGTCAATAATAAAAGTAAATATTAAGGCATACCATAAACTTCATTTTTCATAGATGTAATTCTAAGAACTTATGAGTGAAAGCAAAGAAAAATATGTAATAATATGTCAATCAAACTACATCTGTCATATCCACTACTGATGAGGCCTTTCACCCAATACCAGAGCTCATCAGGCCAGTTGGTACAAGACAGATCTACTTGCGGTCAAGGCACCATTTATATGTGTGTGTGTGTCACTTTCAACAATATTTTAATTAAAATTAACTTCCAATACAAATTTGCTTTTATATAATGTCTTCAAACCATAATGAAACTTAAAGTGACTCTTACAAAGTATATATTTTAATGCATCTGAATGAAATTCATTTATTACATCATGCATGGTGAATTAGTGACTTTCGAATGCTTCAGAACATTATGTATTCTTTTAGCTTACACAAAAAAACAATTTATTAATTTTTAATTGCTACATCAAGGAATGCTTAGAAAATATTATCAAAATTAAACATGAAGCCCAACCTATCATTTGATTCACCACTTGTCACTAAGTTAAGGGAAATTCCGTTCTTCATCAGTAACAATGGACAAAGACACATTGAAAGAACAAGACTAAACTTCTTATATTGTATTGTGTTTTTACCACAATAAACATGTATTTATATATATTATTTGAAGAATAAATGATATTAATTTATACTTTTATTTTACTTCCTAATTCAAGGTCTTATACTGATGTCCCAGTTGGAGCAGTCTGAACAATTTTCATCTAAATATACATTTAAAGTAAATTTTTCAGAAGACTAAATGAGCAGCATCAATACTATATATTTTTCAAATTGTACATAAATACAAGTTCCCTGTGGTTAGTAAACGATAACTAAAATTATTGTATCAAGAAAATTATAAACCGTGCTACAGATGGAAGAGCTAGGCCTATAGCACAGTGACATGAAACCAACACTGCAACAAAACCAACTACTGTAGTAATTAACAAACAATAATTTGTATGCACAATGATGTTTATTGTAGAAAATATTCTACGTGTGTCGACAGTGCCTTGGTCACTCTTCTTCAGGTACAGTTGAAACATGCAGTAAGTATCCCTATTTGTTAATTTACTACTGCATTTCCTTACACATGTAACACAGTTATTTATTAAATTTTAATTTTAATGACAAGTAAATGGAAAATTATCTTTCAAATGATCTATCATTTAATGTTCTAATTGTTCATGAATTTCATAAAATTTTAAAGAGACAAAAAGGAGTTTATTAGTCCATCAAGGATGTCCCTTCCAGCTCCCAACTATAACCACCCCTTACTACTCATGTATTCATCCAATCTTTTCTTGAACTCAGTTAAATTTTCTGCCTCCACCACCCTTGAAGGCAGCTCATTTGAAAAGCCAACCACCTTGTTTGAAAATTAATACTGTCTAAGCTGCAGACAACTCCTACGCTGCCAAAATTTGAATTTATGATCCCATGTCCTATTGTTTTCACTGCTAAACACAAAAAAGTTTGATGGATCTATATTATCAATACCCTCGATAATCTTAATCCCCTCTGACCCTTCTCCTCTACAGAGAAAACAAGTTTAGAGATTTTAGTCTCTCCTCATAGGACAATTCCACTATCCCAGGTATCATCCTAGTGGCTCTTTTCTGAACCTTCTCCAACAATTCAATGTCCTTCTTCAGGAAAGGAATCCAAAACTGTACACAGTACTCCAAATGAGGCCTTACAAGTGATATATATATATATATATATATATATATACACAGTGAAACAATAATATCTCTTGTCTTGTATTCAATATTTCTGTAGATGCTACCCAAAATCCTATTAGCCCTATTACTAGCTATAATACACTGTTTTATTGTTATACCTGAATTAATACAGATACAACTGTTTCTGCTATCAATTACACATTGTTTAACAGGACTACAATTCATATACTTACAGGATTTATACAGTGATTCCCTGTGAGACTACGAAATTCACACATCTGGTGACCATTCTGCCACAGTCGTTCACAATCTTCCTCCAGTTGCTGGGCAAACTGCTGAAAGGCAGGACCTCTAGCATGCATGGCAAAGACTTGTAGAGCTTGATTCAACTTTTTAAAAAGTTCATCATTTTTGAGTTTGTTAATTTCTTACTGTAAAATTAATTCTTCAGAGAGAAAATAAACATCTAACAGTGCAAAAGTCCCATTTATTAATTAAAATTTACTTACGAGGTATATATCTAAAAAAAAAAGTGCTAAACCAAAAACTAGTATGAAAAAAGGGGAGTGGAAAAAAATAAGTGTAATTTGAATTAATGACTAGAAATATGAGTTTTACAAATTGATTTAATGGATCATGTTTTGAAAGAACCCTCGGTAGGTTTTTTGTAGCACATATTGGAAAACAAAATAACATTAAAAATAAATTAAAAATTATGACTAAATTTTCAGAAATCACTTGAATGTAGATTGTAAATTATATTTTCTGCTCAAGAAACTTTTCACTGATTGAGTTCACCTATACATACATGCAAGCAAACAAAAAGTTAAAATAAAGTCACAAAACTTATTATTTATCTTTAATGAAAATGTTTACTCCAAAATATATTATCAACATTTGCCTTGTTATTTTAAATATAAAAGATACTAAACATCATGTGATCTACCTTCCTTTCATGATAATCTAGTGTGTAGTGAGTGGGCAGATTGTCTTGATAAGCTGCCGAGGCCAAGGGCAAGACTTTAGCACAACGGCTGAAAGTACAAACCACATGTTTCACCAGTAAGTCTGGATATTACACAAACATTCTGACAGCATGCTTACAAACCACTAATACACTAAAAACAAAATATTTACATTAAATTAAATTTAGATGGAAAACAAATTTGTACAATAAGAAAAACCGTTATATCCATTTTCTGAATTATACATTTTTTCAACTGAATTTTGACATTGTATGCTAGTAATTGTCTCATGAAACTCAATAATTCTTTCTTACTAAAAGTTGCACTATTTCTAAGTTACAAAATACAATACAAACTCAAACTTTACAAATATTTTGAACACTGTATATATAGACTACAGCTCACAACTAAGAGAAGCCTTTTCTTGCTCTTTGTTATATTCTTGTTCAGCGATACTGATGGGGATAGAATTTTCTCAAACTTGTCTGTGTCATAACATTTGGAAAATCCAAAATATACGGGGCTTCTCAATCTTTTTTTTCTTCAAAAATTTAAAATTTTTCAAGAAGGGGAACAAAAAAAACAAACAATATTTAATATTATGCACACTGTATCGATAAGAAAATCATGCACATTTGTAAGATCATCAACCCAAAGTCACCATAATAAAACTTAAAAACATAATCAAATATCTCAAAATATATTAGCACAACTAGTTAACACTTTTTTCAGTCATACAATTTCATCACAATTAAAATTCAAAAGTATGACTTGCAGTTATTTACAATTTATACTGAGTAAAGGTACCCATTAGAGCATTAGATTTTCAAGATTACTTGAACGTGTAGCAGTATCATTAATAGAAACACTGAAAAAATGCTTACCCCTCAGAAAATCGAACGTCAATATCTAATGTAGTCTTAAGAAGTGACATCACTGCTCCACTTCGGGAATCTTTTGGCTCCATAAAAAACCAATTTTTTAGTTTATTAGCTATTTGAAACCAAATTTGGGCAGTAGGTAGCTGTAAAATAAATGGCCAAGAAGTAAGAAACATAAAACTTGGTTATGAAAAACCTTATACACTTAGCCCTATTACGTCTAGCAAATTCTGGTTCACTCCAAAAGGTTTTTGCATGGTAATACTATATTTCAGAAAGGTTTCACACCAAAGAAAATTATTATACCTCAAAGTATGCTCGAACAATGTTCCTTCCAACATTATCATCAAAACCTTTGCTCAGTGCCAGATCAATATGCTGCCAAAGGAAAGCTTTAAAAGAGTGTTCACTAGCGCCATCTTCTGGTGTTAATGCAAATGCTGGAAGATCATTTGCAGTTTGATTTTGAATACTCCCTCTTCGATTTAACAAATAACTTTTGGACTTAGATGGATCCATTTCTCCTAAAATAAATAAAAAATTACTAGTTCACAAAATAACAGATTTTAAGTTAAAAATATTTTTTTTAATCTTGGAAAATCTAGTATCATTTTACAAATAAGTTTCATAGTACAAGTTACTCAATATATATATATTTGATGTTTTATGTACTGACATATTATGACACTTTCACTAAGTTCTTGACACTTAAAAATCATTGTAATTCAGTTCTATGCAAAAAAATATTTTTTCAAATCATAACAATTTAGTGCAAAGGAAGGTCGACAAATCCATGAAATTAATTCTGTTAAAAAATTACAATTTATATCTCTCTCAAAGGATTATTTTCCCACTGAATTCTCGGCTTCTAGTCTGAGGCACTAGGAAAACCTACCAGGACTTTTTGGAAAAGAACAGCATTCTTTAAGTTGGTTCATAAGATATCCAAGAGGATCAACTATAAGAGATTTCTTTGAAGTAACATAAACAAATTCTTGATTTGCTGGTACTGCAAAAAGAGAGTTCCCACTAAAAAAAACAAACAATAAGAAAAGTAGATAGAGCTCTGTACAACAGATTCACTAAATAGATCAATAAGCAGAATTCGTTACAACTTTACTCTTCATTACTGTTTTGAAAACACAATATGTTTAATCCAATAATCTAGAGATTAAACTTGCGTTATTTTACTTCCTATTTCTTTAATTTTTCCAATTTGTCATTTTTTTGGCTAACCCCTTTCATTAATTTGCTAAATAAGTGAAAACTGAGAGCAAACACAACCCTAGTCCATGCCATTCCTTAACGTACCTGTGCTAAGGCCACTTATGGTGTCAAATATCAAAAACCTCCATCTTCTGTAATTTGGCCTTTCACTCTAAGCTTTTAATTCAGATTTAAAAAAACACAAGAGCTCTTTATGCATGAAGATTTTTAATTGTGTGAAATAAACATTTCTTATTTTCTACTTTGATTAAGACAAATAATAATGTATTTCATGAAATGCAAACAGATTACACTTCAAACAAAGCAAGAAAATGGGTAAGATAAATATTAATGTGAGATTGTGATATTAAGTTATAAATTTCCAACCAGACACTACTTAATTATTGATTAATAGTCTGTAAAACTTATATTGTGTTCACAAGTTTGATTTATTGTACCATGGTTATTTGATACAATACATTGATAACAGTGTTATTGGATATGTTAAAGCATTCCAAAGCTTGTAATACTCAAATGAATATTTGTCATCAAGGAAGCAATCAATTGCTTGTTTGTTTGCAATTAAGCACAAAGCTACACAATGGGCTATCTGTGCTCTGCCCACAATGGGTATGAAAACCTGGTTTTTAGCATTGCAAGTCTGAAGACATACCACTGTGCCACTGGGGGGCAGGAAGTAATCAAACAAATACTCATCATAAAATCACTCCAACTACTTTTTTTTTCCTTTTTTTAAGCAGTAAAAATATATTTCATTCTCGTTATCTTATCTAGACTTACAATATTTTAGAAGTGTTATTAAAACTTACCTTATGTTGGTGATTACACGACTTTTGCGCAATATTCTGTATATCTGATCTTCGAGAGCATGCTCCAACCTCTTGATTGGTGGGAATTTCTGTTGGAGATATTTCTAGGTTTACACTTTTGGATTTCAGTATTTCTTACACTTTGAAAACTGTTTTACAACTTTTAATTGATGACATTCTGCACAATTTACTATTAAATTTTTCATATGTAGTCACTTGAGGAAGGAAGCACATTATGCTGATATATCATTAGGTAAGCACACAACAATTTATAAGCATAAGAAAAAAAATATTTATTCATGGTGGAACACCAAATGTTTCGACAGAACATTGGTTGTGGTTGATGCAGTTAATTTAAAGGAGTTTAAGGGAAAGCTTGATAAATGTCTGAAATGAGAAGCAAAAGTACCCATCCCCAGTGATGGGAAAAGTTTAAGTTAATCTATCAATTTAAGTACCTGAAGAAGACAGATCAATGTTCTGTCGAAACATGTAGTATGTTCCATCATGAATATAAATATTTTCCTTGTGTTTATAAATCATTGTGTGCCTACCTATTGATCATGTCTAGTTCAAGAGATTCTTAAAGTTGCTAAAACAGGAAGCATCATTAGTCTAAGCAAATGGCACACACTCCCTTTCTTTAGCCACACAAAACAAGTTGCTACCTTCAAATCAAAAGTGGTTGAACACGTACTTAATACCAAGTGGCAGAAGAAAACATTCTTCAAAGAATGAGTTATAAGATATGCTAAGTGGCAGAAGTTAACATTCTTCATAGAATGAGTTATAAGATATGCTAAGTGGCAGAAGTTAACATTCTTCAAAGAATGAGTTATAAGATATGCTAAGTGGCAGAAGTTAACATTTTTCAAAGAATGAAGAATGAGTTATTACATATGCTAAGTGGCAGAAGTTAACATTTTTTAAAGAATGAAGAATGAGTTACTACATTTGCTAAGTGGCAGAAGTTAACATTCTTCAAAGAATGAAGAATGAGTTATTACATATGCTGCTTATTGATATTTTATTAATAAATATGAAGAGCAATCTTTCATTAAATTAAATGGAGACTACTAATTTCTTAAGGTTTATTAGACTTAAAAAATGTTTAATGCTCTATTTCATATTCCAAGAGTAAATATATTTTGATTAAATATTATGTAGGAGAATGGATCACTTCAACATCATCATCAACATATTTAGATTCAAATAGTTTAACCAATAAAAACAATTGCAAATGTTTTAAGATGACCTTTTTACCATTTCATATTTCTTTTCTTGGTCATTTATAAAGTGAAGTGAATGTGTTGTAATTCTGTATTTTAGTAAACTGTTTTAAACAACAACAGAATTCAGACTTAACCTTTGACCTTGTTTTCCCTGTGCCATCACTACTATCAATACTTTCACTTTGAAACTCCGGTGCATTGGTTTGAAAAATGAATAGAACACGAGGGGAACATGGCCTGCCTGCTTGCACCCAATCCTGGGAAATGGGAAAACTTCGAAGTAAGTCCGTAAGGCATGGAACTGCTTTCTGCCTGTGTCATATTTTAATAAATAAATAAAAGTTTAATTTCTACCAAATAAATAAACTATACTTCAAGTCTATACTATTTTCCAACATTCATGGAGAAAATTGAAATGATCTATATATTAGCTAAAAGCACCATCTTACCAAGAGTTTGATAAGTTTTTGTTTAACCACACGGCAGTTCATATACATTAAAGTATTTTTTTATTTCAGAATATCAGTATATAAAGCAATATGCTAGACTTGTAACTATACTGTTTACATAACTAATGCACGCTTTGGCAACAGTATGTAACTTCCTAAACCATACATAAGCACACATTAATTTGAAGTCAATGTGGACATGCATTATTGTGGCTTATGTATGGTAGTTAGAATGAAAAAAGATTAGTTGTACATCCTAATTAATCAAATAATTTCTCTTCTGCGTGCAGAATTCTGGGTTACAAATATACTTCTAATTTAGAGGCTTATAGCCAATTTAGCTCTTGAACAGACAAACAATATCAATGGCAAAAATTTAAGATAATTCACCAATAATAACTTAGTTCATTTTTTATTCTGATGAGTTTCATTTATGAACAAGATAATTGATACATTTATCATGTGGCACCAAAACACAAGAAAATACCTTTATTTTCTGTAATATTACCAAGAAGAGAGGACGATATCATGCAATGCATGTAGAAGAAAGAAACACGTTGTCATAAAGAAAGTAGGATAAAATGCAAGAAATGGTATTACCAACATGACAAAAGAAAATATTTTTTTTTTTATCAAGGGCAATGTAAAATGCAATAAATGTTACTGTCTTAAGAAAAGGGTTTGTTTGGTTTGAATTTTGTGCAAAGCTACATGAGAGCTATCTGTGCTAACCATCCCTAATCTAGCAGTGAAAGACTAGAGGGAAGGCAGCTAGTCATCAACACCTACCGCCAACTCTTGGGCTACTCTTTAACCAACGAATAGTGGGATTGACTGTCACATTATAATGCCCAACAACTGAAAGGGCAAGCATGTTTGGTGGGATGGGGATTAGAACCTGTAGATTGCGAGTCGAGTGCCCTAACCACCTGGCCATGCCAGGCCCTTAAGAAAAGAGAATAATGATAGAAATAAAAAACAAATGTAGATATAAAATGTTAATTCCTTAAAGTACACAAACAGTTAAATATAGTTGAACAAGACAGATAATTTGCTCAACATGTTGGCCAAACTACTTTCATGAGGTAGTGACGAAGAGTGCAGTATCATGGACGGACAGAAAGGGGAAAGAACAAAGTTGTGGGTAGACAAACAAGTAAAGCAAGAGAAGTGAAAAAATATATATATATATAAATATACAGTTACAAAACTATAACAAACAAGAGGTAATCCTCAATAGCTGTAATTAGATCTCAAATCTGTCAAGAGATGGAGCTATGAATTAAAAATTTGTACTTGAAAAAAAAACTTGGAGCCATTCTATGAGCTGCTATGCTGCAGCTAAAAATAACCAGAAATCTAAATGAAAGCTTAACTGACAATTAATTACAAGTTCTCCCAAAGAAAGATATCATGATCCTCACATTCATGGGTGGCAGTTATTACATCTGATTATTTTGGAGAACTGGAAATCTAAATGACAATTAATTGTCAGTTAAGATTTTGAGGAGGTATGATTTTTCAAAAGGTAGATCAGACAAAGAGCCTCACAATCATAGGTGGCAGTATTACATCTGATCATTTTGAGAACTGTAGCTTGAATGCCTAAAATAAAATGTTCTTTAAAAAAGAAAAAATTCATAGTTTTCAAAGTTGTTGGTTTTAACATTATAATAATTTTCTTTCAACTAATCTTCAAAATAGCAGTCTTGAATTATGTGAATTAGCAGCCAACAACAGCAAAAAATACTATAATTAAATAGAACTATCATGACATTTAATGTATTATATACTCAACAATTCTTTAACAGATTTATAATACAAACCAACAATAAGTTCATTTATATGATCTCAGGCAAGAAAAAACTAACACAGAGACGTCCATTTTGAGATACTGATCTCTAGTTGTCTATTCTTTCAACTGGACATCGTACTACATAAACTGTGAGAGACATTTAACAGAATAGCTGCCAGATGACCCTTTGACAGCTTTATTATACAATTCAACAACAAGTTCATTTAAGTGACCTCTAGTGAGAAAAAAATCTTCCTTCACTTTATCTCGAGATACTCTGAACATGATAAGATTATTGTAATTATTTCTGTAAGAGATTAATGGAATACTTGCGAACTTATAATTAAGTCAGGATGATTGACATCATCATGATAGTTAATCTTTATAATGTTGGCAACCAACTGAAAAGTTCGAGCCTACTTCTACTTCCATATCAACTCATCTAGGTTGCTGAAGGGAAGAACTATTAGGTACAAAACTTATTCTGAAAATTAATGTGTAAGTGAAATAAAAGTCCTTCAGTAAAGAGCATTTCAGAGCAATTAGATCAATCTTGCATGGTATGATTGTATGTTTAGAATTAATGTCACTGAAGAAGTCATTCAGGCCCCTAGAAGTATACTATGTGGAAGAGGTTTAGGGGGTATGACTAGTCTTTCCTCAATGACAGAAGAAAGATAGTCATGGGAATGTTGAGTTGTTACTGTTTTCTTAGTGCAAGACTACACAGTGAACTATCTACACTCTGTCCACCACAGGAAATTGAACCCTGGAGTTTAGCGTTGTAAGTCTATAAATTTACCGCTTACACACTGGAAAAGGAAATGTTGAGATCTGAAAGATTAAAAAGAGAATGAAACAAAAGAAGACTCAAGATTTTTAGGCTTAATAACTTGGGCTATAAATTAGAATGCACAGACTCCACACTGAGAAATAAATTGTTATTAGATGTAAAATTCATAAAGAAAGACAGTTAGGTCTGATTGCAGAAGACTGATATCAGTTACTGGAAGTTAGAGTTTCCTGTATATAAAAATCTTTAGAACATACTAAAATAAAACATCTCTGTCAGCCAGCTTGATGGTAATAACTGTTATAAGTGGGTGCCTTAAAAACATCTAGATTTTAAAGCTTTAAATTGTATCACCAATGGATGCTGTCAAGAGAAAAGTCAGTTCAATTTTCAATGTGCATACTCAATTGATCTTTATGTTAGAACCTGATTTGGTACAAGCTCAGGTGACTTTCACACAAGAACCGGACTTGTGCAAACTCAACTGACATTCATACTGAAACCTGACTTGCACATGTTCATGTGGTCTTCACACTGAAATCTAACTTGATGCATGTTCAAACTATCATCACACTGAAACCTGACTTGATACAGGTGATCTTCAAACTGAAATCTGACTTAATACATATTTAGGTGGTATTCACAATGAAACGTGACTTGATGCAAGTTCAGTTGACATTCATATTGAAACCTGACTTAGAGGTGATAAAATTTATAATGATGAAAAAACATCAGCTTCCTATGACTGAAAAAGTTTTATACGAATTCAAACACAGAAGAGTAGATTGGGCCCTAGTCATCAAATTCTACAGAAATCACTGATACATGAAATAAAGGAGGTAGCAAAAAAAAGATAATTTATTCAAGTTTTTCCTTGAAAATATTTTACCTGACAGAATCCAGAGTCTGGAAGAGGTGAATATAACTAACATCAAAGGTAGTAGTTGGATGTGCAACCTAAAAACATCCAGAAAAAAGATTTGCCTAACATCAAAAACAAACAGTACATTAATTATCTCACTCTCTCTCTCTCTATATATATATATATATGTATATATTTATACGTGTGTGTGTCTATACATCTATAACTAGCCATAAAACAATTCAGTGAAATAAAAGTTTCAAGTGCAATGTCTTCAATTCCGCATGAGATTTAGTAATATATTCAGAAATAAGCTCCAGTGCCTCAGAAAGCTTCCCATTTAGGTGTACAAATCTCGCAAAAAAATGTAGGTCTCGACACATATATACCCAAATGTCATCCTGCTCTATAAAAAGGCAGTCCATTAAAGTCACAAATCTATAATTTCTACACTAGCTATAATGCCCTTGAAACAACAAGCAAGTTTAATTATTTGTCTGTAAATCTCAGATAATATTGGCACCACATCAGATTCTTATATAGATGATATCAATCACTATCTCTCATGTAGTTCACAATTACTGACTGAAAAGAGAAAGAATTAAGAACAGTTGTAAACCTAATACAGATCATACCTAACCTACTATATCATCCGATCTATCATTGCATCATTTTTTACTTAAGCTGTGCAAGCTGATTAACTGAGAAATTTACCAGAAGTTAATAAAAAGCATTTAAAGACTAACTCAGTTTTGTTACATGTGAAACTTGGTAGAGTTTAATTTGTCCCCACGTAGTGCTCATACATAAGTAAGCTTGAAGTAAAATCAAAATGGTAGCAAGCATGGTACATTGTTTTTAAGCACAAAGCAACACAAAGGGCATCAAAACTTGGCTTTATAATTCTTCAGACTCGCCACTGAGAGCTATATATTTTATCTGTTATTTACTCCACTTTTAAATTAACTGTCCAGAAATCATTAGTGTACATTCAAATGAAAAGTTAAAAAATGTGAAATGAGGAATTCCATTGTTTTCTCTGTAGCAACTGCAGTATTGATCAAAATATTCCAAGTTACGTATCTGAACAGTTTTGACTGTTAAACCTTTCACATCTGTTTTCTTTTCATTTTATGGTTTTAATGTTGTACTTTGTACCAACCGGAGCAGTAATCTTACCAATAAATCACTATACAAACCCATAAACTGTTTCCAGCAGACATACCATAAACAGATTATGAAATATGCATAAGCTATGCTTAGACTCAAGCTTGTGAAATTTTAAACATTTTATTTTACTAAAGGTTGGTTAAGCTATCTTATAAACATTCTAGTTTTTACACTTTAGATACTTTTTTTAATTAATATGTCACAATGAGTAAAACATATACATAAAAAAACAAGGATTTGTAGCCCTAATTAACTGCATACATAAGCTCATTTTCACTCGAGTAAAAATCAAAGCTGTTCTTCCCTATGCCTCACTAGGCATCCAAAATACAACTCATGTAGCTTTCAAAGATGTCAGTCAGTATAATTAAATGTAAAAAAAAACAACAACTATTAACTGGCTTTCTAAATAAGCTTTAGATAGGTTAAAATTTTTATTTGATGTTCAGAGCAGGCATATACAATGATCAAACACAAAATAACTATGACAGACTGTTATTTTATGGGCATGAAAATCAAATACTGTAATAAATCTTATGTAGAGGAGAATCTCTTCCTATTGGTTATAAACAAGTCCAGCAGCCAAATAAATTTGATTATTAAAACAGTCTTAAAAGGGAAGAGAAAGTGGGGCTTCTTTGGCGAATTTGACAAATCAAGAAGGTAGGAGGTGTGAATTTTAGATTATTGCTTGTGATTATGTTTAGTTTGTGGTTCTGATTGGTTGGAACTTGTAGCAGCCAATTTTTGAAGTTAGAAAATACTGAAGTGGAGAAAGCTGAGCTCTGAAGCTTCAGATGATAAAGATTGAGTTTTCTAGATGTTTTTTTTTGAAATAAAGAAAAACTTAGATAATATAAAAATTTTAATTATAAACTAGGCTTTCATGCCATGTTTATTGACATACATTAATACAAGTTGTTTAATTAGTTTTTGAATGTGACACTGTAGAAGGTCATTACATATATAATTTGACCCACCCAAAGTAAAGGTCACAGCAAACAAGTTAATTCATATTCTATAATTCATATGATTAGCTTTCCTTTGTACCTTAAAAGCTGTAAGACTTACAATAATAAGATTAGTTTTAAGCTGGACATTTCACTATACTTTTCTGAGATACAGATGTTTACCCAACTTTTAGAAAACACCTTTAATATAAATAAGCTCACATAAATAACTGAACATTAAGTGTAGTTTTTCCTTCGTATTCATGATGTCAGAAAAACGCGCAAGTTCAAGAAGTCTTAATATAAAACAATAAAAACCCTATAACCCGAATACTTTCAAAAGGTGGACCTAAACTTTACACCTGAAGAAGAAAGGTTCACCTTTTGAAAGCTCTCTAGTTACAGGGTTTTTATCGTTTTCCTTTACATCAACATCTGGCTAACATTTCTTAAGTTTAAAAAACAAGTAATTATATATGTATTATTGTACAGCTTATATTTCTCTTCGTTTTATGCATACTGACCAGAATGATATGCGACAGATGGAAAATTAACAGGAGAGCTTTAGAAAAGGAGCACTGAAGATCACTCCACACTTCTAAAAATGTCTGAAATTAAAATAACATCAGAATTATGTCATGACTTTCTAAAAAAATATCTTCACCTCAAAAATCAGGGTTACTTTACACTAGTTTACTGTTAGTTAAGTCAACATTATTTTGGTCTGAAAATGTTACCTTACAAAGTTTATAGTAATTATTTAAGCAGCACATAAACGAGACCAAATACTTTAATGTTAAAAAAAAACCAAAGGTTTTTTTTTGTTATAAAAATTTCAGTATATCATTTAAACTTAAAAAATTAACAACTCTCAGATTCTTATTATAAATAAGATAATAAATTTATTGTGCGAAATAATATTTGAATTTTAGTAATAAAAACTTTGTGATATTAACAAGAAACTGATTTATTATTATAATGTTTGTTTTACAGACAAAATATAAAAATCTAAAGAAGTGTTTAATATTACCATGAAGGAAAAAAAAAAGGAATTATGTGGTTAGCATTTAAATCAAATGACCTTCCTCAGGACTGTTTGGCCAAAACATCAACAACGTAATTCTTTATTCCTTACGGTCATTTCTTTTGAGCTTCATAGTTTTTTAACATGTTAGTAAAATATGTTCATGTAAAAGAAAAAAACTTTGACTGTACCATTTGGGTTAAAACTAACAACAAATGTTTGTACAACTTTTTCCTTAAAAATAATTTATTAGAAATTAAAATGTAAAATTTCCAATCTTGTGTAAGTGATCAAAACTGTTTGGAATCTGAAATTGGTAGATAAAGTAAATTAAGCAAATAAAATATCACTAGAAATCATAGATCAGCTTGGTCCATGTGAATTTAGTGAAAACAAACTCTCTCTCTCTGTTTACAAAATGAGAACTTGAGTCAAGTACGGTAGCAAAATATAATTTTGACAATATAATAAAATAATTAGTGAAATGTTTATAATTCTACACTTGTTTTGCCAAGTCACTCAGTATGTGGAAGTTTTTATATTCCATTTCAATAGGAAAAAATTAATCTGGTAAAACAAACTGGGAAGTAACGTTCTATACTAATATCACCTTCTGTTCAAGTCAGAGTACTACTTTAAAATATAATGAATCAAACTGATCTTTAAACAGTCTAAATATTTTACTGAAGAAGCCAAATCATTTGTGGTTCTACTGGTGACATAATCTTGCATATTAATACCCTACATAACTGCAAATCCAAACCTGGTTCATACATAATTAAATGTGTGATATATTATGAGATTTACAAGAGAGATAGTGAAATTTAAAGACTCCATATAAACTTTAATGAATATCTGTACATAGTCGAACATTGGCCTTCATCAAGCAAGTAAATATTTTAATTAATATATTAAATTAAATGTCATAAAATAACCATTATTTTCAATGTTACACAATTTTTGATCTGTAAGAAAACTCCACCTTAAATAACAAGTAAATCATTAAACTAAAGAAACAGTGATTTTATTGGATTCTACAAAGATAACCTATATTTAAGGACAGTGGAAACTTTGATTCAAGACTGAAAAGTAACATCCTTTAATGTCATAATGTGAACTTAATTTTCACATTTTAGTTGGTAATTGGTTTTACTATTATCTAAAAGTACTTGATTTTTACCTTTTTATTTATTTACCAATTTTATTTCTATGTTTTATTCTTATAGCTTAAAATCTTACTTTTTTCCATATGTACCTGAAGATATTTATGTCACAAAACCAGTTGCTAGTAATAATAACTTTATTAAATCACGTTGAATAAAGTTCAATTCATTCAGGAACTGTTTGTTTCCATTATAATATGTATAACTTTGAAAATAATAAGATCATATTTCTGTCATTGACCATTGGTCAATACTGTCCACCAAAATACACTTATGTGATAATATACTTGCTTTTTCTTTCAATTCGTTTTCAATGCTGTGACACTTCTGCAGCAAACACTTTGTGTCAAAGCTTCCAATAAGATGAAGAAAAATGACACGGCTTTCTGGGTGATAGAAACCTTGAATATCTGCAGGCTACAAAAAACATGTTATCCTGTTGAAATAAGTGTCTCAATTTGGTGTTATAATCAAACAAGAGCATCAATCATTCACTATACCAGACTATTTTCTCTCAGGATATTGATAATTTAAATGGTCTAAGTGTAATAATGTTTTTTTCTTAATGAAAAACAAAATGAAAGAAATATACAAGCAAACCTACCTATTACCCTGTGATGGGAAAAGTTTACGTTAATCTATCAATTTAAATTATTTCATGGACTTTAAAAACGTTAATTGTGTTGCACTCTCGGTTTCACTCGGAGCCAAAGCTCTGAGCTACTTACACCACCTATATCAATAAGTATTTATTGAGCATTTCACTGACCATAAGAGCCGCTCAACAATAACATACAATAAATATACATTTTTATTCTTTAAGTTACGTCACATTTTGAAATGTGAATGATAGTGTGATTAATTCCTAATAATTCAGTGTAGAATATTCTGCTTTCAAGATAAAATTTGCTATCAATATTATTCATGCCTGTTCTCCAGTCATTTCAAAAGTGAATATTCAGCTTTTCTTGCATACGTAGCTTTTCAAGTGGGAGAGAGATGAACACTCAGACAGACGCAATGATTTGCAATATACAAGAACTTTCTAGGTCTGGGTGCAAGATACCCAGCTGATTTTACGTTAGGCTTGTGAAACAATATTAACAATAGCAATATGAACAAATAAGCAAATTTTGATTTCGTCTGCAATCGTGAAATCATTTATTTTACTAATAATCAATGTTTGAGTGGTCTTAAGTTTTGATATAGTAAGCTTTGAGTGTAGTTTCAAGAATAAGTCTGCTTTTTAAGGTGCCCCCCCCAAATCTTCTATTACAGTTTTGAGCAAATTCCTATGCAATCACTATTGTGGTTCATGATTATAAAAATTTGGATTACATTTTACTATACCATGCCCTTCATTGAGAAATCTATTATTTGAATGTTTTGATGCATAGTCCTTTACTGACCTCTAACAACCTAAAAATATTAGGTTTTTGAATAGCATGTAACTATTATTCAGAGGAAGTAACAAATCAAAGAAAAGATTAACCTTTAGAATCATTCATGGATTATTTTTACCGAAACTACAAGTTTTGGTGACGAAAAGTTAACAAATAAAATCTATCATTGTAGCTTAGCCATAATCATGAAGACATCGAAGCAAACCCTACATGTGTTGTTACAAAGTGCATCATAACTTAAGTGATTTGTTTTTCAAGTTATCACTGATATAACCTTTTAATACTAGCAAAAAATGTGTGATATGCTGGGATGTAACAAGAAATTGTAGTCAGATTGCAAAATATTATCTATTAAATATTTTAACTGTATATAAAAGTGAGCTAATAATACTTTTACATTGTTATTTTTTAATAAATTTAAAAACCTGCCTTTGAAGTGTTGATTTTGTAAAAATTTAAAAATGATCACTGTTTCATGATGAAGCACATCACATTTGTTTATACTAGAAATGGTGCCCAGAAATGTAGTTATTCTTTTGAGTTTAATTCATGTTCTGCATACTTGAATTAAATATTTATACCATTACATTACCTGTCCTTAAAGTTTAACCCATTATAACAGAAGCCCAAGGAAGAGTACCACTAAAAGTGTTAATCAGAAACATTATGCATAAAACTAGTATAATGAATAATTAAGGCTTCCCATCAACCTCTGAACATAAATTAAATACAATATAAACTCATATCATATATATATATAGATAGATATAGTTATTACACAACTACCCATTAAATTTGAAACTAAACTGATAGCTTATAGACTTTAAAATATTACTAAAAACAACAACAAAGTGAATTCAAACAAAATTAACACCTGTATTATAAAAAAAAAATTACATATTTGTCTATGAAAAGTTCTGCTTCATGGTTAAGTTGTCTGCCAATGACCAAGTATTTACTCATTTCATAGCAATAAACATTATTTTTAGTATTAAAATTTACTTCATCAGTAAACACAGTAATTATTTTACTTCACAATAATGTTTCTTTTTTTCTGAAAGTATTTATGTCTCAAAAACCATCAGAATGAAGCCACTTATTTTCCTCACTCATTTAGCAAACTTATTAAACAGATATTTCTACAAAACTATCCTTTACATAAATTTCATAAATTTAAGATTAAACCTAGCATTAATAAAATAAAACAATATTAACAAAAAGAAGTAATACAATACCTCATCTATGTTAATTTCTCCTGGATCTGTAAACATCCCCTGTATAAAAGAAAAAAAATTGAAAAGAATTTGGAAAATGAAATGCTTTGAACAATAAGCTCAACTATTTTATTAAATTAGGTAGAAAAAAAATGATCAAGCTGTCTCATTAAATATGAAAACTAAGTAACCTAATTATAATGACTAATTGTTCAGTTTGTACTAGAACTTTTAATTAATAGTGATAAGTAATTATAAAACATTTTCATGATGTGTATTAAAAACTCTACACAATATTTTTATTTATCCCTTTCGAGATGGGTCACAGGTGAAAGGCCATGTGATCTCGTTTGTTGACTCGCATTCAAAATTTTATTGAACTAATATTTCATGAATTTATGTCAATAACTTTGGTATCAAATTGTAGATTATAATTCAAATTTTAGTATTATACATTACTCAATTTCTTAATTTAAAAGTAAGTATTAAAAAAACATAATTAAACATCCATTTTTGTGTGTCACATGGTATGTTGAATGCAGAACTTGTTCAAATTAGATGTTTGTGAAGTCAAAACACTACGTCTATAGTTTCACACGAATTAGAAACTCAAATTACAAATATTTACAAGCTAGAATCTAAAATAAGGTCTTATCTTTTCTATTTGCTACGATATTGCTCACGTAATAAAGCAAACACAGTGGCATCCTGCTCAACTCTTTCCATTTTGGGAAATGCTCCCTTAAATATACTTACTTTTATATAAGACATAAATACTCAATCAAAAGCTCAGAATGTCCCCCTAGTGCTTTTCTCAGCCTTTCTAATGTTCCTTCCTCCATTTCTTTTATTTGAATCAAGATTTCAATGAAGTTGGTTGTGTTTGCTCAAAATTTCATAATTTTTTAGACCCAAATACAGCTTAGTTACTAAACTTGATAAATTATAGTAGAATTCTATGGTATTGATGTAGTAATTTATGATTTTATAGATATTCAAAAGTATATTTAAAACCTAAAAAAAAATATTTTGTTTTGCATCCTCCATATGCAAAATGTTTAAAGGTTTAGCAACCTAAGTCAAGCAGCAACCGAGTACAAATGTCATAATTAGAAGAGATAATTGTTTGCTTTACTTCTTTATTTACTGTTCTATGTTTTAGGAAAAATAACTAAGAACTTTTTTCAAAATAGCAATAATCTATATACATATATGATATATAATAATTGAAATGTGAAGGTATTTTACCAAATACTAGTCGACTAAAACAGAGCCAAGACAAGTTACTTTGTACAGACCAAAGGTAAACTTTATGCCACTTGATACATCAATGAGTGCACTTGAACCGCATCGTTGTAAATTCTGTATTGTTAGCCAGGCATGGGTGAAAGGTCAATATAATAAATATATATAAATATATAATGTTATGAGATTTAAGCTATTTAGTCTAAAC